TGTCCACACATATTTCTGCATGAAACAACCAACTACAGCACAAATTTGAAAACAAGACATCCACATTAACATAAATCACAGATGGATGGCTGAAAATGTCCTTCATCCTGCACTGGTATCTTCCAGCCTGATGGCTCTGTCCCCTCTCTAACATACTCAGTCCCAACAATAGCACTTAGCACCAAAGCTGGAAAGCAGGAGGCTCTTTTTGTTACAGTTGTTTTCTGAGCCACACTGAATTTGCCCTAAATGAGCATCAAAAAGCAGCCAAAGAGGCAACAGTCCTAACATGAAGGTTTGTGAAATGTGCTATCTAGTATTTACGTCATGCTACATATAAACTACACTTTCCACATTGACATAAGGAAAAAAACCCTTATTGTTCTACTGCTGGAAATCATCCCACAACAGCATTTCCAAGCAGCTCCAACTTGCCAGTATATAGTGAAATAGAGGTAATGCTAACTACAGGATGATGACACATGGTCTCTCACTGGTACATACAGTTTTAAGATTAAAAAAAAAAGTTTTAAACTACAAGTCACCTCACTCTAACTTCTGTGTTTGGATCTAATTTGTATTTGCAAAGACATAAGGAAAGTTAATGACATGCATCTCATAGATAACCAATTCAGCATTTCATTCATGCCTGCTTAGCTCCCTGCTAAGCCACTTTCTGGCTATCTAGTCCCATGCTACTATGCATCCTCAAGAGGAAATAAATTCACAGAGTCTACGAAGACATTACAAAACATATCAAACAAACTCTTTTATTCAAATATAGGAAACAGACGTAACAGGACTAAAATTCATTTTAGTTTGCATCCTCCCTTCCATTACCAAATTATTTTCTCACTAAGGAAAAATGTGAAACACATCATTTCTCACATATGATTTGCTCTTGCCTGTCGCTGGGTACCTGTCGAAAGGCCTTGGTCCGAAGGGGGGAAGAACGACACACAAGACACAAGAGGATGGTGGGACAAAGAGATGTCTGCCTGCTACGCTGAGCAGGCAGCTTTTATTTAGTGCCAACTTCCACTTTCCCCCACACACACTACAAACATGTTCTTACAAAACACCCAGGAGTGCAACACCTGCAGTTTGCCAAGCAGCTCCGACCTTGCACTGTCCAGCACTCAGGGTTGTTTCCATAGGAACGTGCAGTTATCTCTACTTTTCTCAAGGGAATGGTCTTATACCCTGTAATGCTTCGAGCTCCTCTACTTCCAAGGGGCCCGGGGGTTCCACGGGCCTGCCATCTCCCCCCACGCTTGCCCAAAGTATGAAAACAAGTTTTAATAGTATTTCTACAGCTATGTTCACACTTGCTTACAGATCATTCTATTTGAATTTTCTTACCAGTTTCCAAACATTTCATCTGAAGTTTATTCCCTCCAAAAATTTCATGCTAAATAGTTACAGAATGCTAAAAGAAAGGAGTACCATGTACTGTCATATTCTTCCCATAACTGATGACAAAATTTTTATAAGCATGTTAAGAGCTACTGTAAGAAGCAACTGTTAGAATAGTAATATGCAGGTTTCTAAGCACTGCCATTAAGGTATTCAGTTATAATTAAAAAAAAAACAAACACACAACCAAAAACCTAGTAGATGCCAAACTATAAGATTACATGAATGAGTATTTACAAATGTGTATGTCAACAGTAACATCTCATGCAATCAGGAGTACTTGTTAGCTATAATTACCTAAAGCTACCGACTTAAGAACCACAAACAATATAAGGTTCTACTAATTATCTTTGGAGGAAAAGTCTGGACTAGCATCTCAGGAATATTTGTCACAACAGGTCAATCAGAAGTGAGCTGTTGATATAAAGGATCTGAATTGTAATTGTTGATAGAAATACCTCTTGAATGTGTAAGTATGGGTTTCTTTTCTTTTTCCCATATGAAATCTCACTGGGATTTAATTAAACCCACTGTATTTATTTTATGGCCTTCAATAATCCAAATAGTCATAAATTGTCTTCTAAATTTAATTTTATACTTCTTCCCAGAACAAAATAATGAGGAGAGACATTTACGTACACAATATTGTCTTTACAGCGTCATTTATCATACAGCCTTAAAATCCAATGTATTCTATCGACAGAACTAATAGAATTGTTATGCTTACAATGCATTTATTGTGGTATTTTCCTCTAAAAATAAGATCAACTGTATTCTTACATTTTCTGTTGCAAATACATCAATACTTTAAATCAATATATTTGGATTATAAAGTACCATCCATGTAGAAGACGAATGTTGTCTCAAGCTACTAAGGAAGCCATTAAAGGCTGAAGTACATATCAAAGCTTTCCAAGCCATCACATCACTAAGTCACCACATGCAAGCTCTGAAAACTAATTATCACTTAACTATATTCTTAAGCTCATCTAATTTAACTTCTGGGATACAGTTACCCTTTTACTTTGACACCGTTCCAAAGTCACTTAACTCTTACTGCTTCCTCAAGAAAAATGCTATGTTAAACAAAAATGATGTGACAACTATATAGAGAAAAACAGTTGTTCTCAGTATCTATTAGTACTGGTTTTGAAGAAACTATTTGAATCTATCTATCTAACTACTATGGAAAAAAGTAGAAGTAACAGACATTTATCCCTGCCTGATGCTTCCAGACTAAATGAAAACCTCTATGACTATTAGACTTTATTATTACTACATATTTACATGTCCACACTACAATTCCTTCTGAATGGCATGCTATTCCAGGGCTGTCCTTAAATAATTGTACGTTACCCAAATGAACATTCTTCCATCTTTTAATGATTCAGTATATCCAGGTTGCTCATAACATTGTTAGCTGACTGGAAGATCAGGGGATATGTACATACAGCATCTTGCTTAAATCTTAACCACTATTTAGAAGGTTAAGACCTACTTCTTAATTATAACTTATTTAAGAAGGGTCATTCATTTACACCAAACAGAGGAATACACAAAAACCAAGTGATTCAGCCTTCTTTATATTATCTACTGCTCACTGGTTTTGTCTTAAGAAAAAAAAAAAAAACCACCAACATAAAACCCCACCTATTTTTCTCTCTTCCTTCCTCTTTCTTCTTCTGCATTTACCAAGTCTTTCCTCTCTCACTTGTTTCTCTGCTAGCTGCAATTCACTCTGTATCCTGGCTTTTCTGATTTTATTCACTTCATGCTCTAAAACTGAAATATTTCTATTTTTTTCAGGTTTTTTTTTTTACTTTCAGGTCTTCAGAGAAAAAATTTTCTTTTTATTCTTGTATCTCCCCTGTATCCTCTGCATATAACTCTTCATTTAACACAAGCAAGTGCCACCATATTAACTAAAAGTATCTGTACCTTAAACGGAGGTGAAGAAATTACAGTATCCACTGTCACCAAATTATCTTTTGTCCTTGATTTTCAAACTGGTGCCATCCAGAATTCTGCCTCAGTAACAAGTTAGGATTGTACCATTCACAGTCATTAAAATTCCCTGAAGGAAGAGTTTTTCAGAGCAAGAGTGAAAAAAGAAATAGTGCTTCTTATCAGTACAAAGAACTTGCACAGGTACTTAAAAGCATAGAAAGGCAGTCACAGAGAAAACAGTTTATAGAAACAGCAGCATTACATCGCCTTTGGAATTCATTCCTGAAACAACCAACCTTTTTCAAGAGCTAACAAGTATAAAATACTGTTATGAACGTCTTGGAAACCATCCTCAAGTTGTCATTCACTCTCTCAAAGTGTCAGACTAAGATACAGCTTTCCTGGCCAAATGCTTCCTACTAGCAGCATGAAGCAGTTGCACATTTTGTTCTCAGGAAAGCCATAGAATGGCTGTGGAAAACTTTGACCCCATTTCTGAGAGTTAGAAAATTACCTACATTCAGACAGCCTATGGGTAGAGAAGGACAATTGCTCAGCTTACCTCTTACAAGTGGACAGAGAAATAAAGAGGATTTCAATTTCAAAAAGGTGTTATGAGAAGTAAGAAAACTGAGCATGTTCAGCAGCAGTAGAAGATCTGGGTCTTGATTTCCTTTCAGATTTTGCTAAAGCCCGATGTCATCCACTTCTGGCAAACAAACCATGTGACACCGCACAAGGTTTCATTTTAAAATAATTCATGTGTGCAGTATAGATTCTTGTACATAATTGAGAAGATAAATCACCTGTGGAGAGCTACATCATCACACCTTGACATGTATCAAAAACCCTTTAGCCTTTCTTTATTTGGTGTAACACCAGAAAACTCCTTGTACTCCAATCCAAATTCCCTTCTACTCAGCTTCCTCTCTGAGGCAGGTGTCTAGCAGAGAGACACCTACTTAAACATTTGTAAACCATTTGCTGAATTAGGAAACCTACCTCTTTCAACTTTCAAGATAAAGAACTGCGCTTCATCTTTTTTCCTTGGACAATAGTGCAGCAATGCCAAGTTTGGGGCATGTAAAGCTGTTATATATCAGACGCTGTAACCACATTTCAGTGTTTTATTGGTGGTAAATAACATGCATGAGTGCTACAAGGACAAAATTGCTCCTTTGCTGCCAGCAATAGTTGTTTAATGATCTGAACAGCAGAAGCTGCCAATTATTGTATTCCATTTTAAAGTGTCATTTAAAGCCACACTCGTAATTTTGATACCTTAGTTATACATTTATAACTTAGCCAGAGACCTCCAAGCATGTAACTTGTAGAATCCAGGAACAGCTATGGATAATTATATACCAATTTCATCTACGGAAAAATACCATGTCTACCGCACGTTTACTGCCTACCGCACAGCATCCTCTCTGCCAGTAGTTCCAAACCGCAGAGAGGGGCCTGAAATACCTTACACAAGACAGGACACAACCCCATTCTGCTAGACTTGCCATGATTTGAAGGCATGTACACAAGCGCATCAACAACTTTTTAGGAAAAGTCTGTAAAGAAGAGGTCAGTAACTGCTCTGATACAACCCTTACCAGTGTTAGTCCTTCTCATCACTTAAGACTTACCTGAAACAGCCAGCATTTTGGCTTCAAGTAGAGCTGGTAGCTGAGTCTCAATATCACTCACTTTCCTCCTCAAAGTACTGCAGAGTTTCTGACTCGTGCAAACCTAAATTGAGACAGACAGCCATGATATAGAATTCATCCATGTAAAAGTATAAGGCAGCTCAAATGGGGCTTCAAATGTTCTTAGTTTACAGACACGACATAACATCCTGCAGCAAGCTACAAAAGCTTAATAAAAAGTGATGTCTTTACAGAAATACCCAAGATGAATCAAAATTTCCAGGCTTTGCTACACATTCTATTATAAAAATAGGGAAAGGTATTAGAATTAGCTCCTGTATGAGAGAGGACACACTGCACTACTAGGTACTGAGGGCTGCACACAGAAGAAAGGTCATTTTACAAATTCTGTACAATTTTAGCATTAACAGTGATGCTTGGAGTGGAGTATAAATAAACCAACATTTAGAGACTAAAGTGCCATAACACAACATACAGCAATTTTTACACAAAATATACCCTGCTCCACATCTTAACCGGAAAAAAAGGCAAAGCAGCCTTATTTCTGCACAGGCAATAAATAAGGCTATACCAGCTTGATACTGTACTTTGTTTCACAATCATGAGACACAGATGACTGGGATTCATGTTTCTGACTTGCCCTCTCTTTTGTTTTTTTTCATCTTTTTAACTGAAGGCCCCTCAGCGATCAATCAGAACTGGTATTAAAAACATGGAGAGAGATAGGAGAGAAAAAAATACATCAAGGAAGTTCAGCTGTTTCTGTACTTTACGTTTCAGTGTACATTGCCACCTCAGAAGGACTGAGGTGCAACATACACAGTTCATACAACTCTCACATATTCAAAACTGTTGGGGTTTACTCCACATTGCATTATTTGGGAAGGAAAGCAAAATAAACAAAAAGAAAAAATCTTTCATTGAACTAAGGCAAAACCGTTATTCTGAAGGCAGATGTCAAATCCTTGCTCAAAATTGTAGCTGACACTTAAGAAAACATTGGAACCAAGGGTAAAGCAATAGTCAAGATAGGCAGAGGCCAGTTCTGAAAAGATGTGATGTGAAATGAAATCTCCAGAGAGAAGTTTCCCTGCCTTCCTTCACTTTTTTTTCCTCCTCAAAAACAAATGCCATGCTTATTAACAGAAGCACATCTCTTACCTCACTTTTTAAGAGCAAAAGCATTATAGTTCTAATGGATTATCTGTACAATTAAAATATAGTAATTCAGATCTGACACTAACTGTAAATCCTTTTAAATTAATGATACCCTCTTAGTTTAGCTGAGATTACCTCTTAATCATAAATGGGTCATATTTTTTTCTTGAGTCAATAGAACTATCCTCCAAGCAGTAACTGCTACTATCTAAAGACTTCAGAGTCATCCTATTAATTTAAAAACACATATCTCATCACTTCTGCACCTATTACAATTTTCAATTCCCACATATCTCACTTTGTTTCAGTACCCCCTTCTAAGTGACTCACCAACTAATTCAGTTAAAGTATTTTTAAATCCCCAAACCTGTCAGAGGTGAATAAATGTGCCCAAAAGAACCTGAAGGCCATTTCTGTCTCCCACCTCCAAAATAAATCTGAAAGTTTTCAATGACTTCTTTCTAAGAAGCGCTCTCTCTTTAGGGGCACTGAATGGCTCAGTGAATTGCAATTAGATGGGGAATCTTTCAGCTCCAGGAAAACTGCACGAATATATCCCATGCTGGTAGTAACTTAAAGTCATTATGACTAGACAGCTGTTTGGCAATTATGCAAAATAAGTTGGGAGGTTTAATCAGTTTCTAGTGAACACTGTCCAGTTTGTAAGCACTACTGTCAGAACAAAGCTTGCTGGTGCTCTTTATTAATGGACCAAATGCAGGGACCAGAGGCTGAAAGGCAGTTCCTCCAACTCAGAGATGATTCTTCTGCAACATGAGCTAAGAACATTGCCGAGTCTCTGCTTGTAGCTATGTCACATGTATTCTGCAGATAAATGAACAACATTAATCTTCAGGCCTATCATATGGCATAGTTCAACAAAACTAAATGAGCAACTGGGAAAGGCAAAGTAATATCCCCTAAACTAATAGCCCTACTTCCACGTTGCATCAGGTCTACTCTACAAGCTCCAGTTCTTCTCATTTTTTCTAATTGTTTTATCTTAATAACAGATACTATTATTCATTACAGGAGCTTATTTGGCCACTAAGAAAGGTTATTTCTTCACTAACAAAGATGGTGAACATTCACAATGCCAGTGTTCTTTGCTCCCAGCGAACACGCCATCCTCCTCTACCCACTCTGATTGCAGGTGCCTGGGGCCCCAGTGATGACCTTTCCCTGTTCTCAGTGCTCAGCTCTGCTGTGTCCCACAGACCAACAAGCTTGAAGTCTGAAAAAACTCCCTTTCAGTTTCAGGGAAGTTTTTTTACAGCCAAGTATTACTGTGTCTATTTTAAAATTCTCTTCAATGGTTTGTGAGGGTTTTTTAAAGCAGACTTTAAAAAAAAAGGCTCTTGTTTGGGAATATACCTTGCAAATCTCTGTTCAGACACAAATCCCTCTCAAAGAAGCAGTCTATCTGAAACCAGTAGGAAGCTGGTTAGCAAAGATGTGTGGAATCAAGATGAAAAGCAGCAAAATATCAAAAGCAAATTTGCCCACTGTCATCCTCTTCCATCTTTCCAGCATATGATGTTAATCTAGAGCAGCAAAAACAGGGACAAGGACAGCAACTAAAGCACTGGAATTTACTCTTCCTCCAATCATCTCAAGAAAAAAGAATTTTGAGTAACCTTCACATTTCTTTACAACAGCACCTTGGAAAAGATAAAGAAATCCTCTCAACACTGCCTGAAGGAAGGAACAGTCCACTTGGCTTCCCACACAGCATAATCTTGCCATTAGTGAAAGCAGATAATAATTTCTGAAGGAAGGTGGTGAATAAGAGACACTGTTCCCTTCATTAGCAGGCAAAACTTACCTTTTGCAGCCAAGGCTGAAAACAACACAGATGAGGCAGAAAAGGCCATAGAATGCCAGTGGCACAGAGGGAAAGAAAGGACTTTTGACAAATGAGTGTTTTCTCCATACAATAAGAAGGTTTAAAAGACCAGCCCTATTTATTTTGAGACGAAAATAAAAGGATGAATAAACTACATAGTAAATTATTTGGAGGAGTCTCATTACATGCTTCATATTTATCTTCTCTAATAAATAAAACCCATCACACAGAAATAGAACGAAATTGAAGTAATATTTTATCTACTGAAAATTTAAAGAAATAATCAAGCTGTGAAATTCTACCTTGCAGACTTCTCTATTGTTACCTAATGTTTCAGCTCTTATTGAAAAAGTATCCAGACACTACGGTTGTAAAATAAAACCTCAAGAGGCACATTTTCTGGGGAGAAGGCAAATTCTCTAACTTCTGTTTTAGTTTGCAAATAGTTTTGAGGTACCGAATGACTTGTTCATTTTAGTAGATGACCTGTATGTCAGTTACAATAATTTCCTTGATACTTTATTCATAGTCATTTAAAAAATACAGGAGGAAGCATCATATTATAGTAGTCTTATACTAATTTTCCCAATATGTGGGCATAAGCAAGGAATAGAGAAAATAAGCTTAAAACAAAGCAGAAGAGAAGGAAGGACGATCTTTTTAACAGTGCATACTAAAAGCATTGGTCAAGATGATTAGGAAGAACAGATTATAAAGGATAAAACTTTTACCGATTTAGGCGAGTGCTACTAGAGAAAGAACACGAAAAATAAGTTTATTTCAGACCATAAATTGATTATTGATCAAAACCCAGAAATATTTTCCACTCCCTGTTTCATATAGATGAACTTACTTAGATGAATTAGCTAGAGTAAGTGGATCTTTTTTTTCCTAGAACGTTCATGGAGCAAAGATGCTGTGCGGTTCACTGAGTTACTCCAAAAGAAAAAGAAAACTTTAGCATTCTCCTTCTTGAAAGGAGGCCAAGAAAAATAAGAAAGTTAAAGGAAGAGTAGTAACATTTCCAGTTAGAAACAAAAGTTATATTAAATATGCCATATCGCTTTTCTTTGTATTTTACAAGGAGTGTGAGAATGAGATCGCTAGCTAGATTATTAGTGAAAGGGCAGGGAAATGAGGTTCTTAGTTTATGCTTTTCCCTTCATACCAACAAAGCCAGTTAGGTAGGAAAGAAAGAGGCTCTTTATTAAGAGTGAAAACATTCAGCTATGACCAGAGCTCACTTTTATTTCACGAAGCTGAGGAGTCTGTTCCTGAACAGAGACCTGAGCAAGAGGACTGATCACTAGCAAAAAAGCTGAGAAAGAAGAAATTACTCCATCCGCTTCTGTACCAGGGTGAATTTATGCTGATACTTTTGGTCTGTGTTTGGCCCCAGCCACCTGCAGTAGTTTATATTCTCACTGCCAAGTTCACTGATAGAACAGTGAATTCGTCCTCGGAGGGAGAACTTCTGTATAAACTGTTTTAATTGGTGTTCTGTGACTGCCTAATTGTCCTCCAAGGTCGCTTGAAGGAGAATTTGAGGAGGAGGATGAAGTAGCGCCCCAGACTCAATTAAGAAAAACCCCCAAAGCATACTGCACATGCATTAGGGGATTTCCAAATTTCTCACGCATGTGCAGAAGAGATGCACTTACATAACCGGGAGGTGGGACTGAGGGCCTCAGGCTGGGTGGTGCTGGCCACACCTGGGAGGTTGTGGTCACTCAGTTAATGGTATAAAAGTAGATAGTGCTTTCTTGGAAGGCAGCTAACTTCACACCAAGGACAACGTTGCCTTTTGGCGGGGACGCCTCCCAGTTTGTGAACTTACTGACTCTCCAAGGATGCAGCTTCTGCTATCGGTAATTACAGGTATGCTAGGTCAGTAAGATAACTTTATGGGCAACAGCTGGGTAACTGGAGAGGTCATTCTGAGGGCTTATTTCTCTCCTCCTTCCTCCCTTTTGGGTTTGTTCATTTTGTTGGCCACCTCTTGGTAATAAATTTTGGGTTTTTTTAAGCTTTTAACAGTGTCATGGTTTCGAGTTTCAGTATGCCTCGAACCCTCCCTAATACATGCTTCCTTAAGTATTATAATCTCAGTGGCCTGCTCAAATATAAAGTTGAGGAGGGTTTTTCAGTGTATGTTTGAAACTACTTATGTACAAAGTCTTTTTAGAAGGAACACTGCAAAATAAACTTTCTAAAACATGGACAATTTACTATGATCTGCTTCTGTAAATATTCTGAAGAACTGAAAACATGTACTTACTTTGGCAGTAGTTTCTTTAATGGACATGCTGAACAATCGTTCTTTTTCCTGAAGGCTAGAAGGGATTAAAATAAAATAAAGTTGACTTCTGCTCAACACGGGCTGCTACACAAGACATTTCCATAGGGAAATAAGGCTTTAAGATGACTTGTACTAACACAACAGAGCCAATAGCAAGAAAAAAACTAGATGTAGTTTCAGTGTTGCTAGTGACTAACCAATACGACCTTTACAGTTATTTATGAGTATATGGATTTTACTTACCGTCTGAGACACAATTAAGATTATTTGTGTAATCATGTCTTAGAAGTCCCTGGCAGTGTCCAGGACAGGTGCTTTGCTAGACTGTAATCCAAACACCTAATGCAAAGGCATTTCCAACAAAAACAGTTTGCAGTTCTCAACTCTGTTTCTCCAGTTTTCAACTCTGCCAGAAGTTCAACTACAGTCACTTGTTCTCAAGGTAACTGTATGTGAAATACCATTACTCAGTTTCTTTAGATCCTTAAAACCTACCAAATATTTACCAAATTGATTCAACAGTGGACTGAAATTGAAGCATCACACTCACACTTATACGAACAAAGTCAAGGTTCTCTTCCACATTTATAAACAAGTAGGTTCACTACTTTTATATTATCAAATCTAGTGTAAATCTGTACCTTTGGTTCCTGTAAATATGTTAAAAATGCAAATCATTAATTTAAAGTTCAAAAAATCCAAGTCAAATCAAACATCAGGAGTTAGAGATTATTTTTGCAACTTAATATTTCCCTCCCTCCTACTTAGGAGGCATACACTTTTATACAGTGTTCAATCACTTTATCACACACTATTTTCTTTTCTGTCAGACACCTCAATTCTGTGTACATGACAGTCAGAACTCCCCATCAGCAGCATTTCAATTTTTCCTTTTACCTGTGTTATAAAAAATGTATTTCTTTCACAATCTACTGTTACTATTCTTCCCAAATAAGAACTACTAATTTATTTCTGAGCTTTTCTTTAGTCCTCGATGCTGAAACATCCAAACATTTCAGAAACATCACTGGGTTTATTTCAGCGATACTCTTGCATGATAAGACAGTGTTGTATTCATTTTACAGGTGGAAGAAACACAAGCCACTGTTATTCAGAAAGCACATTAAGACTGAGTGCCTGTTTTGACATGTACGCATTTCCTGCTGCCTACCTCCTCTATGCATTTTATTTTTCTTTTGAGAACATGCTCCTTCTTATTTTCCAAGCACAGCATTTACTGAGCCCTATTTCAAGAGTCAGCATTTATATGAGTCTGAATCCCAAAGCACCTGAAGTTGGACTTGCACTCAGTTGCTGATCATCTACAGAAAGGCTGGCTGGACCATCTTACCCAGCTGCACACAGGAGTGAAACAGCCTCAGAGGCAGATTTCAGCATATCATTTTATCACATTAATGAGACAGCTGTTTGCATTGCTTTCCCTAATATTCTGCTTCATGGAGCACACACCTTTTCGATCAACAGCCCAGTAAGGCCAGTCACCTCATTACCACCCCAGGACGCAGGGGTCCTTCCAGCTCCAGATGAGGTAGCCCCTCAGAAACAGCTCATGACAGTGTAAGTCAATGCCTGTGTAAGGCAACAAACAGAAATGAAACTAGCTAGCTACGTAAAAGTGGTTTAATTACATTTCCCACACAACAGTCTCAAATGTCTCCCTTTTCCACAGCAATATATGTGCAAAACAGAAAGTATTACATGTGTAATGATGCCATTATCAGCTTCCTGCTTGCCTCTGGGCATGCCAGGGGGAATGAACTATTTAGCCACTTCTTTTCTTGTGCTTTGGAGCTCCCAGTGACTTTCAGCATCTCCCACAATTGGCATCTGAGCTGGTCAGGTTATGTAAAAAAAAGCTGAGCTTTGTGTACAGATGTCAAGGAGGAGCAGCAAGGCTGCAATGCGTAATTGAATGAATAATGGGTGACTGACCCAATTGTGCTGAAAATGCCTCATAAAATTCAACTCTAAAGACCCAGGCCATAACAAAATGTAAAGTGCAGTTATAGCCAGAAGAACAACAGTATATAGATGGCAACTCTATTTAACAAATCCCTTCCATGTGCTCTTCCCCTTATCTGTTTACTTTCCTCAAAGAAAGCCTCCCCGCCCAGGGTTCATACAACATTTCACTGCTCTGCAGAACTCACACAGCTAATGGGAAGAGAGATCAATTTTTAACTTCCTTTAAAACAATACATCCAAAACAGCATTACAAACTAAGTCTGCATTGCTAACAAGGATGCACAAGCCCACCCAGACTTTCAGGACCAGGTGCTCAGTGGGAAACAACACCCTCTTTAATACACAGATTTCTTTTTTGAGTCTCTATCAATTCACTGAAAGAAAGGTAAATAAAGAATCAAATGCTGCTGCTTCAATGATAGAAGAATTATAGTTTTAAGAGAATTTTGTAGAGCTATAATTTTAAGGGATTTTTTTAATTAAACTGACCTATATCAATAAAGGTATCGCTAGTAAGTAATTAATTTGACCAAAACTACTGATAGCTGCATTAACCACAGACTTGAATCTAAAGAATCCTTTTGTTACAGTTGCAGCATTCACACAGACTCTTACAAGTGTATTTGTATTATTTATAGTATGAATTTCACAGTAGAATCCTTTTTCAAACCCTTGTTAGCCTTCAGAGCTACACCATAGAAATCCTTTATCCCTTTTAGAGATTAGCCCAACATACGATGCACACACAGCAATCAAAACCATGTAAGAACCAGCCATAGTTATGAACTACAAACAGCTTTTAACTACATTTATTCCCAGGTTGTTTTCTTCTACCACAAAACACCACCACAGAGAAGCCCCTCACAAGCTTTCCAATTAACTGACAAGCTAATGACCCGCAAGAGAAACCAGGCAGTCAATACTGATTCATTCTACCGACAAAGAGCTTTAACAGCCGTGATCTGTTACATGTGACTTGAACCAGAAAGAGTATTTTCTTTTACAAGCACCCTGGAGCATCATATTTCATTTTAAGAGGGGTATTCTGTCTGCATAAAAGCTGCTTTAGGTATTACTACAAGGGTAAATGGCTTTAGAAAGAGCTCCTTGGAATAACACTAAATTCTTGCCTTGGAAGACATCCATAGTTTTGACTCATTGCTATTCTTCTCTGACAGAACAGCTAATCAAGAATTTGACAGCTTGTCCTCACAATCTTAGCAATCTATTAAAAGGACCATTTAGAACTTACTTCTCAAATTCAGTATAAGCTAACTCCATCACAGAGAAAGCAAAGTTCTTGACCCAGTTGATGGAAGGGCTAGAATAAGACAGAAATTCAATTAATGCAAATTTAACTGACTAAATATGCAGGAAAATAAAAGTTTTTAACACTTGCAGAACCCACAGCAATCCATACATCATGTGCAATTTTTTCATTCATGCAGATGCCACATAGGCCTTTCATTTAATTGACTTGCAGTGGACTTACACACATTAGGATCTGTAATGAGGACAGAAGAAAAGGAATGTAGACTTGCTATATCCTAGGGTCTCACTGTATACATTCTAGACCAAAACAGGAAAGCAGGAGCTGAGGAATGATGTAATTTCTGGATGATGAAGGAAGTAATACTTTGACATAACATGGACTTCAGCTGGAGAGTTGCAGGAGGATGTGGGAATGCTGCATGTTCAGGAGCTCAGGCTGATCTGGCATGTAACAAGAGACAATGGGAAAAATTTTAAGAGCCAAACACTTCAGGCAAGCCACTGCCCCTTACTTATCTCATTTTACTGACCTTAAAAAAAAAAATAGCTACCAAGTATGTTGAATTGTAATAACACAGAACCTGCTGAGATGATGATGTTCGTAACTGGGAATGGTGTGCAAGCTAAATAAAGGAAGCCAATTCAATGCAACGGAAGAAGACTAGGAAACAAGTGGTCTGGTTCACACATTCCTCACTCTATCACAGGCTTCCCACATGACTGCAGAGGACATTAAATGTCATGATATAATAGATAATGTTTAAAATGCCTTTTAAAGAATATTCCAAGAAGTTATGATTTGCAGGCAGGAATTACAGATACTATGGAAGTGGCTTTGTTCGGAGGAAGGCTGACTAGCACAATACTGGGAAGAATGGCTTTCTACTAAAGGAAAGCACGTTTCTGAATGTCTTTCCTTCTACTTTTCTAGCATACTTTCCTTTGCATACCAGGCTATTATGTATTTATGTTTTGCTTCCTAAGAAAAAATTAAAAGAATGCAAGCGGGCAAAAGGCAAGTCATGCTGTTCTACACATTCAAGATATACAAATATACACACTGCTTAAACAGAAGCAGTTCCTGTATAAGTAATAACATATACAGAGTAACAAAAAAATGTAGTCAGAATGCAGTTTCCATATCTGCACAATAGAATATACCACACATATGGTACCAGTGTAAAACAAATCCTGTACTGAAAATTCTTATTTTTCATAGAGAAACTAAGCTGCCATCTCTGATCCCTGCTTGAAGATCATGAAAGACAAGAGTCCTTTTACAGTAAATATTCTCCTTTACATTACTGTCACCTAAAAAATTACTAAAGATCTTATTATTTAACTCCCTATCTCCAAACTACAATATAGTGCTTAAACAAAGAGCACTTTAGTTTCTTTAAAACTAAGTACAAATCAGAATAATTTAAAATTACTCAAATTTGAATTTCTAATTCAAGAGCAACATCCTAGAAGCCCACATTCATATTGTATGCATATGAGAAAGCATGATGGGCTGAACCCTCAACTCATATCAATATGTATTCCCTCCTAGATAAAAATCAGCAGACTTAAACAGTTTACAGTTTGAATTTGGCCAGGAGTAAGACACTGCCTGCAAAGGATAACCTCATTCTAGTGATCACAGCCTGCACAGAAAACATGGTTTTTACAATCTTATGTCTTCTAATATGATTCCTCCTCCGATTCTCAAGTCACAAGAAGCTGTACTGCCTGAGATGATGAAAATATCTAAATCAAGCCCTACACTTCTAATCT